AGGTGTGAGGTAATGTGAGAGAAAGTTGGAAAGGGTCCTAAGCCCAACTAAATTAGCAGCACCTGGGATCTATACCAAAAAGTCAAAGAAAATTGAAAAACCTATTATTATTGTCCACTGGGAACTTTTATGGAAGTCAGCTACTAATGAAGACAAGCTAATTCGAGATAGTAGTCCAAATACTCTCAGTTTACAAATTGAAGTGATTTTATTCCTTTGCAGTCCATGTTCTCATCAGTTCTGTGGCTGTTTTCCAGTTGTTCCCAGGCTGCTTCCCCCTCAGGATCCTATGCTTCCCTCCGTGTCCCCCTGGAGTGCTCTCCTCCCGGGCTTCATTCTGTCTGCCCTGGTCTGGCTCTTGCAAACCCTCCTCCAGTGAAGCTTGCTTTATTTCCTTAGCAATGTTCCTGTGTCCTCTGAATCCTTTAAGATGTCTGAGCTCTTGTCCTCTGAACGGTGCTTACTTGAACCCACAGCTTGTTTCCATCTTTGGAACATCAGTTCCTAGGAGGCTCCTGTAGTGTGTGTCCCTCCAGTCTCCACCTTCCAGAAAGGAATTCCTTATCACCCACATGCTTCTGCCCACATCCTCTTCCCTCCAACACTACCCAGGTGATGGAAGAATAGGCCGTAATAATTGTTCTTGTTTCCATGTAAAAGGAGCTTCCTCCTTGGCTTAGTTTTTTTAATGGCTCCTCTAAATACCAATGTTTCTCAACCTAGGCTATACTCTAGAGCATTGATGTGCAGAGCCCAGCCAGTCTGGGGCAATCTCTGAGTGTAGTTGGGGCTGAGGACAATGATCTTCCCTCTCTCTTTGGGTGTTGGCATCACCTCCTGGCCATCACCTCCAGTCCATTTGCAGACCACACCCAGATTTGAGTCTCTTAGCCCTGAACACTCTGCTAAGGTCTGGATTTATATTTACTGCGGGTGAGTGGGATGGGGAGGTGCTCCATGTTTATGTTCAGTAGTTAGTGCACACCTGTGGTTAAAACTGATCTAATTCTCATTCCTCTTCTGTTCCCTGCTTCCTTTTGTCCCCTTTCACATTCGATCCAACCCATTTGATCTGAAATAGTCTTAAATAATCCACTTTCCCTGTCTTGGACTACTCTCATCCCTTGTTTCTGGACTCTTGATAATGTTGTCCTAATTCATTTTTTCTGTTTTTACTTCTGTCCTCCTTTGTCTCCATCTGTTGCATTGATACTGAATTGTTACTTTAAGGCACATGTCAAATGACCTATTCCCTCAAGTACCTAGAGATGGTATGTAACTCCTGGAGCTCGGTACACCTGGGGCTGAGGTCAGCCTGTGTGCACTGTAGGGGACTGAACTGCACCTCTGTAGCAGGTCTTAGCTCCCCTCCTCTTAATCAAAGAGCAGATGAACTAAGCCTTTCCACTCCCTTGTTAAGCCTCAGGGCCCCGAATGCACACAGCTCAGTTTTTAAGAAGGAGTTTACCTCTCCCCCTGTTTGCCGGTACTTTTGCCAAGAGTCCTATGTTTTGATTCCAAGTATGTTTATGGGAGTTGTCTTGTTAGTGATGTGACAGGTGAAATAGGAGTGCTGAGGGAAAGCTGTTGCTTCTACAAAAACTTAAGTAGGATGCTTAGTTTTCCATTGCTGTGAAACAAGTCACTAACCACAAATTTACAACTTAAAACAACGTACTTTTACACTCTTACAGTTTCTGTGAGTCAGGAGTCTGGCCGGGGCTTAGCTCAGTCCTCTGCTTTGGGTATCACAGGCTGCAGTCAAGGCGTTGGCCAAGCCACTCTCTTATCTGAAGCTCGGTCCTGTTGGCAGAATTGAGTTCATTGCAGTTCATTGTGAGACTAAAGCCCTGTACTCTTAAAGGCTGCCCCTCTCCGTAGACAATTCACAACCTGATTGCTTGCTTCTTCAAGACCCACGGGAGAGCATCTCTTCAGAATGGCCCAGTCCCTCTTTACAGGGCTTTCACCTGATTCAGCAGGCCCCCAGAATATAATCTTCCTTTTTTTTTTCCAAAAGACTATCTCGCTGTGTTGTCCAGGCTGAACTTGAACTCTTGAGCTCAAGCAATCCTCCCGCCTCAGCCTCTCTAGTAGCTGGGACTACAGACACATGTCACCACGCCCACCTTAATCTTCCTTTTAATTAACTAGAAAGCAACTGACTTGGGACCTTAATTACATGTGCAGAATCCTTTCACCTTTGTCATAGAACAAACGAAACCTCATCACAGGTGTGACATCCTGTTCTATCTATAGGTCCTCTCCATACTCAGGGAGATGTGTGTATATACCCGGGGGCCAGAGTCTTGTTGGGGAGCATCATCTTAGGGTTTTGCCTACTATAAATAATTTGGATAAAAGTGAAATGCTAAAAGTTTACTTGCACAGATAGGTGGAATAAAACTGTAAGCAATTGGAGAAAAAGTCTTTTTCTTTTTTATTTGTTTGTTTGAGACAGAGTCTCGCTCTGTTGCCTGGGCTAGAGTGCTGTGGTGTCAGCCTAGCTCACAGCAACCTCAAACTCCTGGGCTTGAGTGATCCTCCTGCCTCGGCCCCCGAGTAGCTGGGACTACAGGCGTGCGCCACCATGCCCGGCTAAATTTTTCTATATATTTTTAGTTGCCTGGCTAATTTCTTTCTATTTTTAGTAGAGATGGAAGTCTCGCTCTTGCTGAGGCTGGTCTCGCACTCCCGACCTCAAACGATCCTCCCTCCTCAGCCTCCCAGAGTGTTAGGATTACAGGTGTGAGCCACCACACCTGGCTTGGAGAAAAAGTCTTAAAGGTCTAGAAATCTGTTCTGAGATTGCTTAGAAAGCGTCCTTCAATTCTTGCTCCATTTTAAAGAAACTCACAGTGGATAGCAGATGCTTCACAAGGGTGGTGCCTGCTGGAATGGTGACAAGGAATGAGCTAGTAGACTTATGCACAAAGACAAGACTCTGGTTTTCCATTAAAAGATGGTCAAATAGGCCGGGCGCAGTGGCTCACGCCTGTAATCCTAGCACTCTGGGAGGCTGAGGAGGGAGGATCATTTGAGCTCGGGAGTTCGAGACCAGTCTGAGCAAGAGTGAGACCCCATCTCTACTAAAAATAGAAGGAAATTAGCCAGACAACTAAAAATATATAGAAAAAGTTAGCCGGGCATGGTGGCACACACCTGTAGTCCCACCTACTTGGGAGGCTGAGGCAGGAGGATCGCTTGAGCCCAGGAGTTTGAAGTTTCTGTGAGCTAGGCTGACACCACAGCACTCTAGCCCAGGTAACAGAGTGAGACTCTGTTTCCAAAAAAAAAAAAAAAGAAAGAAAAGAAAAAAAAGATGGTCAAGCAGATATGTCTCTTTTAATTTAAAATGTGTTTTGTGTCACAGAAGAGGGCTTTTGTTGCATTTGCAATTTTCAGAAGGGCTACCTTACCTGGGTTTTTGAAACTCTCCTTTCCCTGCTCTGTGCTTGCTGCTAGCTCTGGGAAAACTTTTCTGACTCACAAATGCTGACATGAAGGGCGTTTTTGTTTTTTCTTTAAACATTACGATAGACTCATGTTTTTATTTAGTTTTATAGTCCATTTAGCTATGTATTTTGATACTCAAAATTGTTCTGAATTTGGTCAGGAGTCCCCATCAGTCTTTGAGCAATTTTTTTTTTAAGAAACAAGATATTCATGGCTCACCTTGTCTTACCTGGCCCTTTTTCCCCCAAGAGCCCTGGCTTCTTTTAGTGGGAAATGCTGCTTAGAGACCAGTATCTGGCTACTTGCTGTCAGAGTGCCATTGATTCTAGGTCCTATCCAGAGACAGAGCAAGCAAATACATTCAAAAATAAAGTTCAGGCCGGGCGTGGTGGCTCACGCCTGTAATCCTAGCTCTCTGGGAGGCCGAGGCAGGCAGATTGTTTGAGCTCAGGAGTTCGAAACCAGCCTGAGCAAGAGCGAGACCCTGTCTCTACTAAAAATAGAAAGAAATTAATTGGACAACTAAAAATATATAGAAAAATAAAATTAGCCGGGCATGGTGGCGCATGCCTGTAGTCTCAGCTACTCGGGAGGCTCAGGCAGGAGGATCGCTTGAGCCCAGGAGTTTGAGGTTGCTGTGAGCTAGGATGGCGCCACGGCACTCTAGCCCGGGCAACACCGTAAGACTCTGTCTCAAAAAAAAAAAAAAAAAATAAAGTTCATAGTGAGATTTCCAATTCAAATTGTTTTTAAAAATTTCTTTGATTTTTATCTTTTACACTTAAAACCTTAGTTTCCAGTAATGTTAACATTGTTTTATTATATAGCATACATGAAATAGTTTTAAAATAATAATATCAATATTAGGATTATCAATAAGACCAATGAATGAAGTTTAAGATTTTTTTCCCTTAGAGTACATTCCACTATTGATGTATAGTTCAAAAATCCCTTGAAATTGAAGTTTTTTTTTTTTTTGGAAACGGGGTTTTTCTGTGTTGCCCAGGCCATGCTCAAACTCCTGGGCTCAAGTCATTCTCCTGCCTCAGCCTCCTGAGTAGTTGGGAAATACATTTCTTTTTATATACATGGATTAATTTGCTTGTTACCAGTTGTAGGTTTTACTTTTTTATGAATTGATTTTAATTTCTGAAGATGAAAGTATTTATATGTTTTAAAAGTAAAGATCTATAAAGTATACTCACAATCTTGCCTTCACTGGTCCCTGCTACCTTCACCATGTCCCCTCCCCGTCTCCCCACAGGTAATCATTGTTAATTGCTTTTGGTTTATCTTTTCAGATTGCACACATGCACATGTATGTCTCCTTTTTCTTGTATCTCACGCAAAAGTTAGCATATGTATAGTGTTACGCACTGTGCCTATTTCACTTAACTACAGTTGGATAATTTTCATTAAATTTATTATTGAATAAATCATTGATTTATTACTGAATGGTTGAATAAATGAGGGTAAATGAGATGTTTTTCCCTTGGACTGTGAGTATGAGCACTCTGTAAGTTTATCTTGTTTATCATTGGCAGCTTGCATTCACAAGAGATGGGCTCTGTGGTCTGTGGAATGAAATGGTTAAAGATGGAGAAATTGTATATACTGGGACAGAATTAACCCAGAATGGAGAACTCCCTCCTAGAAAAGGTAAGGGCCTTTAATTAGTATTTTTTCATTTTGTAAAGACCATTATAAATTGTATTTTATAGAAAGTTTTTAATGTGCTATAGGAACAGGAGCTTTTGAACATAACTCTTTGAAGTTTTGTTTTTCACTTTGATGATTGTTGTCTAAAATGATAGTTAATATTATAAACTATGTGGATTTTATTGTTTTATGTGAATTGAAGGCATTTTTTGTAAAATCACCTAGCAATACTTGTGGTGTTCTTTCCTAGTGTTTAGTTTGTGGCTTAGGGAACTGGGTGATATTTCTTTCTTTAAGTTTTGAACAGGTCTTGCCTTGGCTTACTATAAATATTGATTATTACAAGATTGAGTGAAAATAATTATTCCTAAAATTTTTCCTGTATGATTCTCCTTTGGGAGTGTGTAAAACACTTTTTAGAATCCTTTGGCCCACAAAGAAATGGCAATGAGCAATCTTATTTAGGTCTATGGTTATGAAAACTCAATAAGACTCTATCATTTGGTTGTTTTTGACTTTGGTTGTGTATCAGAATCACCACTGAGGCGTTACAAAGAAATAGATGCCTGTACCCACCCCAAACTTGGTGGCTCTGCAGAGCCTGAGTTGAGACCCATTGCTGAAGTTTGTTGCTCCTCCTACTTAAAAATTATCAAGATGGATTAAGCTACTTGAGAAAGTATTTCTTTGTCTCTTTGCGGAATGAATTAACATAGTGTCCACTTGAAAATAAATGGGACAAAGTATTAGTATATCTTTTCAGTTACAACATCTAGCAGTTATCCCTGTTTTTTCTGATATTTGTTTGAAAATTTCTGCACACATACAGAATAACTGAATCGGTAGACAGGGAGCCGCTGTACACCCACTCCGGTACTGCCACCAGCCTTTGGCCCCCCTCGTTTATCACAAACGCCTGACTCCACGTCCTTCCGTCTGTCCATCCATGCATGTGTCTCACCCAGCTCTCTTTGGTGTTTCGTGCATGTCATTAACTCGGGTTTAGTTTTTTCACGTAAAATTTATGTATGATGCAATGCATATATTTTAAGTTTACCATCCCGTAGGTGTTGAGAAAGGGAACCTGTGTAACCTAAACCTTTAATATTACTCTCTTGTGCCCTTTCTGGGTCTGTGGCTGCCCCCACTGTCCAGAGACAATCGCTGGTCTGATCTTTCTCCACCACTGATTAGTTTTGATTGTTCTAGAACTTCATGTGAATGGAATCATGCAGTCATGTGTGCTCTTTTATGTCTGGCTTCTTTCAGTCTGCATAATGCTTTTGATTTTCTTTTTTTTTGTGTGTATCAGTAGTTCATTCTGTATATTTTAAAAAGTTTTATACTTCCTTTTAGCCCTCCAGTATATTAAATTAAAACAATATTTCCCAAAGTGTTTTCCATGAAACAATAGCTCTAAAAGATGCTCTAAGAAAAGCTAATTACATAGAAAAATCCAAAGTATATTTTTTATTCATTACATTTGATGACTTTTTTGTCTTTTGTTCTTTTAAAAATCATGTGGTTAACAAAGCAAAGCATAATTGTTCTTTATGTAGATCCCAACTGAATGGGATTTTGGGGGACATTTTTTGGCATTAAGTAAAAGTTTCTATTTTTAGTGTGCATGTGTGCTTTTTATTATTAGAAAATATTTACAGATTTATATATATCAAATTCAATTTTTAAGATATGTATATTTTGATGTTAGTTGTAGCTAACTGTGAGAAAAATACAGATTAGAGTAAATGTTCCTGAAATCCACAGTTTTCATTTCTTTGAAGTTTTCTTTTAGTTTGATTACTTTCTTTCACATTCAAGCACTGTTGTGTGGGTTTGTAACTGTCGTCAAGGTGGATTTCTTCATAGTTTGTTTCTCAGAAATAGCGGCTTCTAATAATTTGCACTTTCCCCTGGGATAAGCTATCCTTACTTTGATTTGCAATCACATTTAGAATCTCCTGGGCCTACTGGTAAGGAAAGAAAACTCCCTCCCAGGTAGTAAGCTTTTGTGTCCCCCTTTGGGGTCAGGTACCACGATGACCAGCCCCAGGCTGGGATGGATTATAGTCTTTTACTTTTTCAAGTTAACATTTCTTATTAACAGCCAGAATCTGCTCCCCTGCTTCTGCCCTCAGCAGCCCTTCAGGATATTGCTGCCCACCCTGGCCTTCCCTTTTCTCAGATATGCCATAATTTGCAGTGTGCTTGGGCAGTTTGTGTTCTGTAAACTTGGAACCCTGCAGTGGTGAAAAGGAGAGTAGACAAACATGGAAGCTAATGTGCATGCTGTCTTTCAGCTGGTGGTGCTAATTATTCTTGGTTGTTTTCATGGCCTCCAGTGACTTCATCCTGCATTTTGTTGTAAGGTGTTCTAATTTATGCTCCTGAGAATAAAACTGGAGGTGTACTTAGCGATGCTTCTTGTCTGCTTCCTAGAGACTATTGAAGAAGCTTTTCATCCTGAAGAAGAGATTATATGACCAGTGTTCCAGTGTACTGAGTTTAAAATTAAGAATTTTGGGTTGGGTGCTGTGGCTCATGCCTGTAATCCTAACACTTTGGGAGGCTGAAGAGGGAGGATTGCTTGAGGACAGGACTTCAGGACCAGCTTGGGGAACATAGGCGACTCTGTCACTATAGAAAATAAAAAAATTAATAGGCCTGGTGGCATGTGCCTGTGGTTCCAGCTACTCGGGAGGGAGGCTGAGGCAGGAGGATTGCTTGAGCTCAGGAGTTTGAGGCTGCAGTGAGCTATAATGATACCACTGTACTCTGACCTGGGTGTGATGGCTTGTCTAAGAAAAAAAAAAAATTGTTTTTGCTTTCTTTTTTTATTTGTAAAATTTTTAGCATGCAAACTTTCTATAAAGGGCTACATAATAAATATTTTGGGCTTTGTGGACCATATGGTCTCACTCATAACCATGGGACCCTGTTACAGTTGTAGTGCCAAAGTAGCTTCAGACAATATTAAACCAAGGGCATAGCTATATGCCAATAAAACTTTATTTATGGACACCAAAATGTGAAGTTCACATAATGTTTACAAGTCATGAAATATTATTTTTCTTCTGATTATTTTTCAGTCATTTAAAAATGTAAAATCCTTTCTTTGCTTTTGGCCAGTCTGCGGGCTGGATTTGGCCCCTGGGCTATGTGTAGGGCAGAGTCTGACATTTAGAGCCAACACTTGAGTTGTCACCTGAGTCCGTGTTCTTGGCCAGGACCTACTCTGTGAGCCGCAGTTTCTACCTTGGTAAGCTGGAGATGACAAAGACCTGCCTCCTTGCAAGGCCATTTGTAAAGATGTGAAAGGATAATGTACAGTTGTTGGGCCAGAGGCTTTGCCTAGCACATGTTAGCTTATTTTTACTTTCCATTAGCTGCCTGCTTTTTTTTTTCCTACTGATGTCCTACCTGTTTGTGTATGGTTATGAGTTAAATGTATTTCATTTCTCAAACTTCTGAATTCTACTTTGTTCTCACACTTCCCATGTCATTAAATTGAAATAAGAGGCTAAATGAGACTTATTTAAGCTGTGTTTAGTTTCTCAGATCAGGATAAATGCTCATCTGCTGCAGAACAGGACCCTGCTCTTGCTTCACTTAGCATGCATTTCCCAGTCCCTTCCTGGATGCAGGCCATGCCCCACTCTAGCCCTTGAGACCATGATCCCTGCTCTGACATGATTCCTCTAGACTGTCTTCCAGCTGTCCTCCCTGAACCTGCATTCTTCTCTTTCCAAAGGCCAATTCGTATTGATTAGTTAGATGTGGGCGATAGGTTTTTTTCTAAAGTGTCTTTAGAGTCATAGACATTACTTTTTTACTTTTGTATTAAAGTGCTCTGAGTGTGCTGGAAGTTATAATAAATATATATTTGTTGATTTTCATTGAAACTCTACTGTAATTTTAATGAGAACCATTTAAAATTTTTTTATTAAAAAAATTGTCATATAGTAAACTTTTTTCCTTTCTGGTGACCAGTTTAATAAATTTTAACACACGTATAGATTCACGTAACCTCCACCATAATCAGGTTTGTAAACAGTTTCATCACCTAAAAAAACTCCCTTGTGCTTCTCCTTTGAATCACACATTCCCTGACTCTAACGCCTGCCAAACACTCATCTGTTCTCTCTCTAAACTGTTTTGTTTTTGAAAATGCCATATAAGTGGAATCATACATTATGTAACATTTCGAATCTGGCTTCATTTACTCACAAATTATATCTTTTAGATTCATCCATGTTATTTTGTGTATTAGTAATTCTTTTTATTGCTGAATAGTATTCCATCATTTGAGTGTACTACAGTGTTTATCCATTCACCTATTGAAGGCCATTGGTTGTTTCTATTTTTTGGCAATTACAATAATCCTGCTATGAAGATTCCTGTACAGGTTTTACATGGATATAGTTTCCATTTTCCTAGGATAAATACCTAGTAGTGTGATTGCTTGGTCACATGATAAGCGTATGTTTCACTTTATAGGAAATTGTCAAATTATTTTCCAAAGTGGCTGTATTATTTTGCATTCCCACCAGTAATGTATGGCAGTTTTGGTTCTTTATCTTTGCCAGCACTCGGTGTTATCAGTATGTTTTATTTTTGTCATTCTAATAAATCTGCAGTGGGATCTTATTGTGGTTTTAGTTTGCATTTCCTTAATGGCTAATGATGTTGAATCTCTTTTCATGTTCTTGTTTGCCATCCTTGTATCCTCTGTGGTGACATTTCTGTTTAAATCTTTTGCATAGAAAATGCTGTATCATGGAACTAGTTAAATAGCCAAAGAGAAGTTAGTTAAAGCTCTGTTCTGTGTATAACCCTAGGGGATTCCTGTGCTAGGGTCATGGGGTTGGCTGAACACATGATACCTGGTGCTGGGCAGATGAAAGCAGCTTATTAGTCATATATACTCACAGCCTGGGGGGGTAGAGGGCGCCAAATGCCACCGAGTCTTATAGGGGCTGCACTTGGGAGCAGAGTGTACC